TTTTTAGTCCCCAATACTTCAGTGAGTCATGCTTTGGAAATGACAATATTTTTTTTATTACCCAACCCTTGAGTTGTTTTGTTTTTCATTTACCCAACCTTTTACTTACTCAAAATTTAGTTTACCCAACCCTTTTCTCTTCGGTGCCACCCCCCACCATAAATAATGACCGGTCCCTAAAGTAGGTCTGCATAGGAGACTAATTCTACAATGGCGACGAGGATGTAAAAATAAACAGCGTGAAAAATGTAATGGAAAACTAGAATGGCGGCACAAAACATACAGCCTATGCCTGCTTTTGAACCAAGGAGTGATCCGATCCTACAAGTACAAGTGCGAGATGGACACGATGGCCGGAAAGATTCAACACATATTTACTTGCAGCAGATATTAAAGACGATGCGAGAAAGCGAGCTTTATTATTGTATCAGGCGGGGCCCAAAGTACACGAAATTTTCAAGACTCTAGAAGAGGGCGAAACCAAAGATTTTAAGTCAGCAGTGAAAGCGTTGAAGGAGTATTTTGAACCAGAGAAAAACGTGATATATCGCACCTATGTTTTTAGACAAGCGACGCAAGGCAAAGAGGAATCAATCGACGAATTTCATACGCGTTTACGAGGCTTGGCAAAATACTGCGAATTTACAAACATAGATTTTGAAATTAAGATGCAGATTGTTACGAACGGCACAGTCGGCACTTCTTCAAGATTACGAAAGAAAGCACTACAAGACCCAAAATATAGTTTGGCAAACATGTTAATCGATGGACGAAAATACGAAACTAGTTCAGCTCAAGCCGTTGGGATCGAAGAACAATTCACAACAAGGGAAAATATAAATGCAACGGCTATCGCAACGCCCACTGAGAAAAAGTGTTATTTCTGCGGTTTCAAGTATCCACACGACAATCAACCGTGCCCAGCGAAGTCTGCTATTTGTAACCACTGCGGAATAAAGGGACATCATTGATTCTACGACATACGCGAAATTGAAGAGGAAAAGATCATTACGTAAAAGTTCAACTAAAATCTACGCATATGGATTTCACATACCTCTGCCTCTAAACGGACAATTTCAAGCAACACTCGAATCGAAAAAGTGTTATACCGTGTCGCAAATATATGTAATGTAATAGACGGTGCAGGAGGAAATTTACTAATTGCTAAAACAGCCCAAGATTTGGCCTTGGTCCAGCTAATTAACACAATTTCCGGTTTTCCTGAACAAGATAAACAAACAAAGACAAATCAAAACACACACAGCACTGCATGCGAGACCAATCCAGAAATCAACACAAGTGTTCCTCAATCAAAAGACCCGAAAATGCAGAAAATCATAAACAAATATAGTACAGTTTTCAAGGGGCAAGGAAAATTAAACAATCAACAAATTAAACTTCATATCCGAGACGATGTCAAACCAGTTATGCAGCGGTAAAGACGTATACCATATCATGTGAGAAATGATGTTTCTAAGGAACCACAGTGAAGGAACTAAAGAAACTAGAAGAGCAAGACATTGTCGAGAAAGTCGCCAATCAACTAACACCATGGAAATCTCCAATAGTCGTCACGCCAAAGAAAGACGGAGGTATTAGACTATGTGTAGACATGAGGGAAGCAAACCAGGCAATCGAAAGAGAGACACACAATGCCAACTTTACCAGATTTTAAAGCTGAGGTAAATGGAGCAAAATTCTTCTCAAAGATATTTACACCCGGACAGTCGATTCATTACAACGTTTTCTACCCATGAAGGACTGTTCCAGTATAAAAGATTAAATTACGGTAGGAACAGTGCAGCCGAGATATTCCAAAATGTGCTACAACAAAACCTTAGCGATATCAGAGGAGTGAAAAACCTGGTGGATGATATTATTATTCATGGTAAAACCCGAAAGTCACACGATGAAGCACTAGAGAAACTGTCTATAAAAACGGCTAGCAGCACTAAACTTGAAAGTGAAAGGGGAAAAATGTGAATTTCTACAACACGAAATTACGTTCTTTGGATTAAATTTACAGCAGCAGGAACCAAACCAGATCCAGAGACAATTGAGAACATGGTTAGAGTACCAGCTCCCAAAACTCCTGGAGAAGTTAGAAGTTTTCTGGGAATGGCCAACGCTTGCCACGAATACATTCCAGATTATGCAACTATTACAGCACCTCTAAGAGAACTAACCAAGAAAACATTGCGTTTAAGTGGGAAAATAGACATCAGAAAGCATTTGAGCAACTGAAAAAGAAACTAACAAGTACCCCAGTTATGGCATATTTCGATACAAAGAAACGAAGTCTAGTAATCGTAGATGGCTCCCCTTATGGAATTAGTGCAATACTAGCACAGAAAGAACATCACAGCCAGCAGTACAAAATCCTTTCATATGCAAGCAGAGCGCTCAGCCCAGTTGAGACAAGATACTCTCAAACAGATATTGAAGGACTTAGCTTAGTATGGGGGAATTGAGCATTTTCGAATGTTCTTGATTGGATCAGAATTCGATGTGATAACTGATCATAAAGCACTCCATTAGAATCTATATTCAATAACCCAAGATCCAAACCACCAGCCCGCATCGAGAGATGGATGATGCGATTACAACCATTCAACTTCAAAGTCATTTACCGCAAAGGATCCTTAAACGAAGCTGACTACTTAAGTAGACATCCAGCTGTCATAGAGAGATAACAAATAACTAGTACATCAGCAGAAGAATATGTGAACTATGTAACTAACTGTTCAGCTCCAAAGTCAATGACACTTGACAAGATTGAAAAAGCAACCCATAACGATCCAGTATTACAAAAAGTTAAGAAATGTCTGAAAGAGGGAAAATGGGATGAGAACGATCCTGATCTTAAACCGTTTAGACTTTGCGCCGACGAACTTACGTACAATGCATCAGCAGGTATACTGTTGAAGAACACACGGCTGGTCATTCCAACAACATTACAAGAAAGAGCAACAAAATTAGGTCATATCGGGCATCAGGGAATTGAGAAAACGAAAAGCCTACTACGCGAAAAGATCTGGTACCCAAATATGGACAAACGAGTGAAAGAAATGGTAGACAAATGCATTCCTTGCCAATCAGTCGGTCACGGTAATAACCCGGGGTCAATGAAAATAACACCAACCGAAGACAAACCATGGACTAGTGTAGCAATCGACTTCTATGGTCCAGTACCCCGAACTGGTCAATACCTGCTAGTGGTTATCGATACCTACTCAAAATTCCCAGAGGTAGAAATAGTCAACTCAACCGAAGCAAAACCTTGCATACCAAAATTAGATACGATATTTGCCAGATATGGAATACCATCAAAAATAAAAACTGACAATGGACCCCCATTTAATGGGAAAGAATTTGAAACATACGCTAAAACCCTTGGTATTGAATGGAAAACAATTACACCACTATGGCCCCAGGGTAATGCCGTCGTAGAAAGATTTATGAAACCAATTGGAAAACTCTTGAAAACAGCAGAAATTGAAGGAAAGAATTGGAAGCAAGAACTGCAAAGGTTTCTACTTCAATACCGTTCAACTCCTCATCAAACTACTAAAGTCGCTCTGTGTGAACTACTTTTTAACAGAAAAATTCGGGGATATTCACCAGAACTCACAAGGAAAAAAGTAGTTAATAGACACAAGAGGGCGAAGCAGAATTTGGAGCAGAAGAAAGGAGAGAACAAAGAGTACTACGATAGAAATAAAAGAAGCTGGGATCAAAAAGGGTGACATCGTCATTTGCAAACAGAAGAACAATTAATAAGTTAACATCAAAGTTTGACCCAGAACATTATACGGTAGTACAACGTAAGTACAACACCATCATAGCTAAAAGAGATGGTAAGACGGTGACAAGAAACGTTTCACACTTTAAGAAGGTAGTAATGGAGGAAAGCGAGGAGGAGCAGGAAGATACAGCACCGAGAAGATCGATGGAATCAGAGGAACCACCAAAGCAAGAACCAAGTGTAAGGAGATCAACAAGAATGAAAAGACCGGTAATACGATATCAATACCAGGTGACTTGATGTTATCAACAGTAAAACGATATAGACGTTTAAATTATAGAAACATCAGACAACGTTGATTTACATAAGTATGAACACAACACAAGGACATTTTATTAAGTGGTTGACATTCAGTTAAAAAAATAGAGGGAGAGTAATGTAGTATTTGTAGGATGCGATAAGTTAATAATTAACTTCTAAGCATGTAACAAACATCGATTGACATTTGTAATAAATCATCATTCAGTCTATTCTACAGCATGTACAATACCCACATTCCTAAAGAGATCTACGAAATTGAGTTGACGTAAAAAGCGTCCGCCATCTTGAAATTTGATCCGATATTACTGGCTTACATGAATTATTCCAATTTGCAACCCAACGATTACGGATTGAATTGAAAAAACACACCTCAAAAATAAGATATAATTTTTTTACTATATGCCTTACTGTATATCCAGTAACTGGATGAAATGTTGTTATTTATTTATACATATTACTTTAAGTCCATTAGTCCTTTAAATTTCCACTCTTCGCAAAAACATTAAAATGCTCTGTATTACCCTGATCGCAGGTTAGCTCGCAACGAGATTCTGAGTAGACTCTTGCGATGGCTGAAAAAAAGTTTTCCACACCTTTAATTTTCGCGCACCTTCTATAAATAATGGAGTATCCCAACAAATAATTAACGCACCAAGAACTGTAAGCTGAATACAAAGACTTGCAGCATTTTGTATCTTCACCCCAAAATAATACTTTATCGATAGTCATGCTAATAATTACAAAACTGAAAGGCTCGTAAGTTCGATTCGCGCTAAAGTGCTGATATTGTGTATGTTTGGACGTGCGAATGACTCTCTTCCGCAAAAGGTTTTAAAGGTTGCGAGAGCGAGCGAAGGAAGAGTAGAAACATGACTAGAAACATATAAGATACCGGTTCTGTCAGAAAGGATATTTTACAAAACAATACAGTATAAAGATTATACATATAGGTTTTATAACCATAATTGATCCGTTACAAACGATTAATTATATTTACAGTTTATGCTTTATGTATTAAGGGCAGTGCACATAAAAACCTGCGACCAAAAATCTGGGAGTCAAATACTAAATGGTATATATTGGAATGGGCGTTGTACGTTATCTTGGATCTTCTATGAGTGTGGTGCCATATTTTATATTTCAGAATTATTCATCTGCATTCTGTTGATTCGAAATCATATGTGTCCATGCATGAGCCAGATCCGCTTTACGCTTCGGAGCATTTTCCTACAAAATACCAAAGCATCATTACAACCAGGGCCGCCTGGAGGGGGGGGGGGGAGGGGCACTGTGCTCCGGGCCCCCACCTGAAAAGTGGCTCCCAAAGCAACGAAGGCCCTTAAAATCTCTTGATACAAGATTGTTTAACTGAGAATATAAATTCGTGCTGCGTTAATGTCGGATAATACGTACTAAAGAGTATTATATTGTAAAACACTGCTTCTCCCCTTTTACCAATTCTTGGTTTGCAATGACGTAATTTTGGGATTTCAGTTGATGGGCAGGTATAACAAAACCCGGCTATTTTAATGTATTGATCGAGTTTAGAGACAGTTTAAGACTCAAAAGACGAATTACCATTCAGTTGTTCTTGCTACAACCATTCTGATAGGAGAAAATCGTCCACAAGTTTGTTTGATTGCCCGTCATTTGGATGAAAAGTCACGTAATTGCAAACAAAGAATAATAACGTCGTAGGGGCTGGGAAAGGTTTGCCTCGGGCGCCACGCAACCTATCGGTGGCCCTGATTACAACACGTGATAATTAATTTCTTTTCGTGGAAACACCAGGTTTATACTCCACTCTTTCGCTCTGTATTCACAAATCAGTGCACATAATGAGCAATGTCCGGGTTTTCGACCAAGGATCAAACGCTTGGGGGGATTTTGATATTAGCAACTTAATTTTGCACACTAATATCCAAATTCCTAATTCTTACGACCCCAATGCCAGACCACTACTGAGATAGAAAATCATTCAAGTTTTCAGAAATGATGTCATGGTTTCTGGTATTAGGTTAGAACTGAATTCGGTTGGAATGACACTTAGGCTTGGGGTTACAAATTTATAAATAATCACGTGTTTCCACAATAAAATTAATAATACTATTAATATTATTTTCACCATGGAAACCTACAAAGAATTAATTATCAAATTAAATATCTTCCTGTGCGAGCATGCGCCTGGCCTAACAACACTCAATAGTTTACCTTTATTATAGTTTTCTGGTCAAATCGTTTCTGCAATGAAAGATACGATTCAAAGTTTTAGAGTTTAAAGTGAAAATTTAAAAATCTTATTACACATTTTCTTTATATCGTTCTTGGAATGAAGGATGTTTACACTTCATTTCAAACAAAATCATTATGCATTCCCCCATCTTGGATATGCATTACGTCACAACATATGTATATGCATTACGTTACACTTGGATATGCATTACGTTACATATCGAATATGCATTACGTCACAACTGGGGTAAGATTATCTTATATATTGAGCAATTCTCCAATCATTTTAATGCTAAATCCTATCTTTTCACTCATGTCTATTTTAATTGAAGCACAAGCTATGTTTAAGCTTTCGTCTGATATTACCTTTTAGACTTCTAGTTTTATTCTACCGGTTGTGACGTCATTTAGTTAAATCCATTGAACTATAAATAAACTGGAAGGCTAACTCGGGGGGGGGGGGGG